AAGAATGTCGCATTGCTCGTGTAGTGTTTGGGAGGATGTGATGCCTGACCAGTGTGTGTTTTTGCTTTATCGGAGGGCTTTGTTGTGTACAATCTGCAGTTAGGATAGGGTCGAATTTGATTGAGTGTGTAACGTTATCGGGGGGTAAATGACGGATGATCTGACAAAGGAGATGTATATGATGCGTTTTATGTTGGGTGGGAGGTGGTAAAATCTATGTATATTGTGTTGATTGATGAGTTCCATTACTTTTCTTTTCGCTACCTGGGAGCTGAAGCTGTGTGTAGTGAAGCGTAAACCTAAAACTTTTCCTTTGCTTGTGTATGGATAGTGGGTCTTTGAAGTTGTCGGAAGTGTTCTACTTAATGATGGGGATGATTTTAAATCTATTTGTGTTTTTTTCCTAATGAGCCATTTATTTTCGAAGGTGTTGAACTGTTGTATGAAGTGTTGTGTTCGTATTGTTGCGTGATTGATGGGTAATATTCTGTGGTTATTTGTTTTATGTCATCTGCAAAAGCTATGTAGTCTGTGTTGGGTAGTGGTTGTGGGAGGTCGTGGGTGTAGAAGCTGTATAGTGTGGGGGAGAGACAAGCCCATCGGGGGACACCTGTGTGGATATATAGTGCTGAGACCTATGTGAAAACCTATTCTTATAAATGCTGTTCTGTCTGTAAGGTAGTCTGAGAATGTTTTGGTGAAAGTGGATGATCTTGTATAGGAGTCCGGTGTGCCATACCTTATCAGAGGCTTTGGTCACATCGCGGAGCACAATGTCAGTGTTGTGTCTTTGTGCTAAGTGTGTGACTAGTGTTTCGTGGAATGTGGCTAGTGCTGTGTGTGTCCCTCTATGTATCTTAAAACCGTGTTGTCTTGTGTTATGTATGTTGTTAATGGAATGGTGTTCGTATAGGCATAATAGTTGAGAATTTTGTCTCAGAGCTTCCCGTGGAAGTCTAGTAGTGAGATGGGTCCGTAATTTTGGACTTTGTGTTGTGATGTGTTGGGTTTGAGGAGGAAGATCATGATTGCGTATTTCAGTGGATCCGAGAAATAACCGCCGGAAATGACATGATTTAATATGTACAGTAGATAGTGGATCACCTTTTTGAGTAGGTATTTGAGTTGGAGGATTTTGATGCTTGTGGGACCAGATACGTGTTTTAGTGTACATTGTAATTCTCTTATGGTGATAGGTGGGAAGTCTGCGGGTGGAGTCGGGAGAGGTCGCCATGATTATATGGTTGAATTAGGTTTATGTTGTTGCTGACATGGCCTTGTATGGTGTGGACCTGTTCTATGTCAAAGTCTTCATTGTCTGTGTCATCCTAAGTGAACATTCTTTGCCAGTGTTTGCGAGAAGATGGGCACTTTTTGTTCGGGTGTGCAATGTTGTATGTTGTGTTTGAGGTATGGGACAGCTTGTTAAGTGTTCGTGCTATCATGCGTTTTAATGATGACCAGATTTCCTGGGGTCTGTTTGAGTTTCTTATGTGCTAATGTGGTGTTTGGAGGTGTCTGTATGCTGTGTGTAGTCGTTGACTCAGGGTGAAAAGTTGTCTGTTGAGCGCTAGCTATGGACCGTGGGTGTAAATACATTGCCTAAATTCGTTTTCCAGGCCTAAAAATTACTGGAATTTCATTTCAGATTATGGAAAATACTGGAATTTGCAGTATTTTCTGTGCTGCGTGTGTTAACCCTAATCGCCACGGGTTGTCGTGTAACGCTACAACCTCGGGTGCAAATGATATCTGCCCTTAATTGTTAAGTATTTTTTAGGTGTCTTCTATTTTACATACGCTAAGATTATTTTACCATGCATTAATACAGATTGTTTCCTATCAAATGCAGTCTTCAAACGCACAATTGTGAACTCGAATCCATTTCTGAAAATTATGAGAATGAAAGGACCGAATTTCTGGCCTCAAGCAGAGCCATCTCCGTGTACAACTCCGACCGCTCGAACTTGTGTCTATTTTACCCATGGGTAGGAGACTGTAAGTGTAAGTCATTCACGTGTGTTTGTGCCTGAGATATCGCTGGTGCATGTGCAGCTTCAGCACTGATGCACCTGCATCCTCATCGCTAGTTTCTATCAAAGTTTCTTTGTTCCTATAGTTTTTTCTATCTCATTGTCTGTAACTTTGTTGCCCGCCATGAAAGAACTGCATGAAATGAAACGCATTAGCGGAGCGGGAAGCTCGAGTACCTCCCTGAAGTTCCAGCTAAAATATTGATCCAAGAAGAGATATCAGTTGAAGAATATCTCGACAGACAAGGCTGTGAGATTCGTTGTTATTTTTTTACGGTGATTATTAGAAACTAAGGGCGTTTTCCCGCTAAACCTACGCGATTAGCGTTAAACTGTTTCTGCAGTCTCTTGTTTCCTGCGTTCTGATTGGTCTCCAATCACGTGATCGTCGGTCATGCTATTTGAGAATTCCATCTTAAGCGTGCAATTTCTATATCGCCATGCGTGGAAAGTGTAAATTTCATGACTTGTGGTTAAATATAGAAGCTTATCGTGACTGGCTTGCTCGCCATCCCAAGCATGAAGGTAAGCAATATGTACATTGTGCTCGAAACTCGAAAGACTTCGATGTGTCAAATATGGGGAAAGCAGCTTTGAAAAGCCATGCCAAAGGCAGCAAACACACCAAGTTAGCAAAGCAACACAGTGAAGTGAAAAGCAAAGCGCAGTTACGCGTTTCCGATTTGTGGTCTGCTGACAGCAATGCAACTGCAGTTTCTTGCTCCAAAAGTGTATCAGGGAATAGTCCGTCGCAAAAGTCAGCACGCATCAGCACTGCAGTGCAACTTTAGAGATGAATCACAACATTGCAGTGAATTGAACGCACTGTTTCAAGCATTTTCAACTTCTGACCGACTGGACACTTTTTGGCATGCCATTCTGTCAAAGAGCACATACGAGAAGCTCTGGAATGTAGTGCAGATGCTCATGTCTTGTCTCATGCTCCTAGCCACGGTTGAAAGAGGGGTTTCGTTCAACAAGGAAATCATGACACACAACATGAAAGAACAAACGTTGGTTGCCGTGCGTGCTGTGGTTGATCATGTTGCACATGTTGGTGGCCTGGAAAAGATGACCATCACCAAGAAGATGCTGCTTGCAGCTGGTAGTGCCAAAACAGCCTACAATACTTACTTGGCAGAAGAGAAAGAGCAGAATGCGAAGGCCCCGAAAACCTAGAAGAGGAAGGCTCTGTTGGATGTGCTAGATGCATGAACTGAAGAAGAAGAAAAGGCGTACGGAGGAGGGCATCAAGGTGCTTGAGGAAGCAGCAGATGAATATGCCGAAGCAATGCAGAGAAAGGGGGATTTGAAAATCATCGCAAAGTTCAATGCCACGCGGCGACCTTTGAAAACAAACCAACAGGAGCTAGACACTCTTGAACTGAACATTAAAGAAAAAGTTGATGAAATAGCTGCCAGTTGAATGTTAGGGTAGTGGTGTTGAATCATGTTGTGAACTGCATTGACATTAGCATGTGCAATATTGTGTGCATTTGTTGTGATTTGACACTATTGAATTCATAATAATAAAAGTGTGGGCTTGATTTCCAGATTTGTGTCATTTTTGATCCTCTATGTGTGCCCGCTCTATGCATTTACACGTTTGACACGTTATCAACTTTAGGAGATGATAGAATATGCACGGTTAATCTTTCAGTCATGCTAAACCTGTCGTATACGAGTCCTGGAAAATTATACTGATGATCATGGAGAGTCCTGGAAAAGTCCTGGAATTTTTTTCTCAATATCGGTACGCACCCTGGAATAAGTAATGTTCCGTGGGTGGGTTTGATGTCGTGAATGATGCGGTGTGTTATGGTAGGGAATGAGATATCGGTGGCTTTCTGAATGTGTTTTGTCCAGATATCCAAGTATGTGTTTCTTTCTTCTAGCGCCCCAACTATTATGGGAATGTGGTCTGACTTAGTAATGGCGTTATGTTTTGAATGCTTTATTGTTGTGTTGGACTCGGTCAGGTGATCTTGTGCTGTTGTGGGCGAAGAGGGTTGAAAAGTAGCGGTCGATGTGGGTACATTTATTTACATTGGGATATTAGTGAATGTACTTGTCTTCCTATGTGGTTGGAGGAGCTGTTACCTAAAGTAGTGTGTCTTGCGTTTATGTCTGCGAAGAGATATATGGGATGGGGCCTATTCAAAAGTTTGTGGAGCTCAATGTAGTTGCTATTGTCTATACTGGGTGGCATGTGTGTGTAGGGTCAGGTTGTGTGGGTACTGTGTGTTGTAATAATGTTTGCTTATATTGTGTCCAGCTTGCTTTATGGGAAGATCTGCAAGGACGGATGGGTATTTGTATGGGATTTGCAGATATGATAGCTATTATGGGAATGTGGTCTGACTTGGTAATGGGTCCGGGCTGTAGGTGTTATGTTGTGAAATGCTTTATTGTTGTGTAGGACTCTGTCAGGTGATGTGCTGTTTTGGGCGATGAAGGCTGGAAAGTATAGGGACCGATGTGGGTACATTTGCGTCGGGATATTAGTGAGTATTATTGTCTTCCTATGTGGTTGGATGAGCTGTTTCCTAATGTAGTATGCCTTGCGTTTCTGTCTGCGATGAGATATATGGGATGGGACCTATTAAAAAGTGTGCCAAAAATGGAGAATTCCATTCCCTGGAGGAATGGATATGTGTGTATGGGGAAAGGGGAAGCGAAAACACAGGTATGTGATGGGGGTGCAGTCGTATGTACAACAATTAGAGTAGAAATAGAGGCAAAAAAGTAGAGTCATTATAGTTCCTATAGTGACATGTACTCATGGTGAAAAGGCTGCCAGAACCAAGTGGTCTCAAAAGAACACGTGAAGGGAGCACAGTCACAACCACCAATAATGACCAATTTTCTGCTACATAGATTATCATTTTTCGTTCCATAATTAGATACGTTGAACACGCAAAAGATGACTCCATATAGTGACAATTGTATGCTTTTTCCTTTTATAAGGGCATACTATTCTTCCTCTGGATTGGAGTACAACCTGAATCGCATCAATATTGGCGGATGCGATTTCTCGAGTCGAGGATACACCTACGTGGACACGGAGGGGGATGTCGCGCTCGAAACCTTTGCCTTGCAGCCCGAAGACTTGGAGCAGAAGGTAGACAGACGTTTGATCTTAGTAAACTTGTTGACCTGGTAACGAGCTATTCTAAGGTTTGTTCCGATCTTGTGACTTTTTTATGGTGTTTATAAGCTGGTACAATTGCTCGCAAGGTTTGAATGAGTGTTCTAGAGCTTAAAAATTTCAAATACACATATAACCTTCTATTGATCATTTGCGTTAACTGGAGCTTGCTATATCTTGATATTTAACAATGCAAAAAGGTTTTCTGCCTCATTGATGTCGACAGCATTGCAAATTAATTGACTATTTTGGGTTTTGTTCAGAAACTTGGGACCAGTTAGAAAGACATTTTCTAATTCCTCATGCAACGTAAATGACAGGCATTAAAATTCTAAGCCTCCGTAGATCCCTGTCATCCACCGAATCAATGCCATGTCTGATGAAGAAGTCCTCACCTTTGCGGCCGCCTGGTCGGCTCCAGGATGGATGAAGACCAACGGCGACCTCGTCGGGTACGGTCAACTGCTGGAGACAATGTACCAACCTTGGGCTGAATATCATGTCAAGTGAGTCAGTCCGTTTCAGTTGTGTTGAAAAATCTGATGTTTGCTGCCATTCAATATTGAATAAAACTTGAGGTCACGTCGGATTTGAATTTTCAAATTGAAATGACGATTATGACTTAGAATAATAACATAAAACAAAATGTACATACCTCTTAAAATATGTATTAATAATATAAAATACGAAAATTTGGTCGCAGTCCTGGCTGTCAAATTACAATACTCAATCTTATTTTTTCATTAATTATTTTAAATAGATTTCTGGATGCTTACGCTGCGCAAAACGTCTCCATATGGGGAATTTCCACTCAAAATGAGCCAACTGACGGAAATATTCCTGGATTTTCTTTCAATTGTATGGGTTGGACGCCTGAAACTCAACGGAAATTCCTAGTAGAGAATTTCGGACCTGCATTGGAGCAGCATGGCTACGACAGTCTGAAAGTGATGGTGTTCGACGACCAGCGGCCGTATTTACCTGAATGGGTTTCTCACGTAAGTGTGCCTCAAAATTATACAGTTCGATAACACAATTGCCTCATTTCGTTGTACATAATATATCGCAAAGGTTTGGTGACACATTTGAACTCAAAATCCAATATCTGATGGCTATCTATAGGAAGGTTTGTCTGAATTTCTCCTTGTTAACGCATAGCTTCTAAAATTTAGCCCCTAGCGTGTCGAAATGACATGCTTATCCAAGGTAACAACAGGCGGGCATACCACATTCATTTGTGAGTCATTAACTTCAATGAAAAACGCGAAATGTATTTGAACTTAAAATATTTTGCTTAAAAACTTTCATTTTGGCTGCAGATTTTAGAAGACCCTGAAGCCTTTGCTTACGCTGATGGCATCGCCGTTCATTGGTACATCGATTACGTGTCAGATAACATTCTGAACCTCACCCACCATCTCTATCCGGACAAATTCATCCTAGCCACAGAAGCTTGCGAAGGTGCAAAAGCAGTACAAGATTGTTTCATACAAAACGAGGAAGTAGGCTGGTTTATTGTTTATTGCATCAGAACTTACACAAATTTTGAACAAACAAAATTTTTAATTCTAATGGTTGTCTATTAAAACGATTTGAAAACGATAGATTAATAAATTTATAATGAATAATTTATGTGTGAGATCTGTTTTCATAGCTAATTATTTCTTGCTGCAGGATCCAACCCTGGTCAAGAAGCAGTTATCCTTGGTTCGTGGCACCGATTGGAAACCTATGCTGCTGACATCATTGAGGTCTTGTACAATGAAGCTATCCCTGTTCCGATGATTAATTTTGGCCTAGTTTAACTGTTTATTACTTAAATTGGACGAGTCTTCAATGTACGAGTATGATGAAGTTTAAGATAATAAAGAGTTACTGGCTTTTAACATCATCAAGATTATACAGTTTCACAAGGGTTATGTGTCCACCTTGCTCAGCCATCTAGCTACCTCGCTGAATCGGTAGATGAATAATTTTACATATGCGTTCGAACGTTGCACATTCAATTCTAAGAGCACTCAACACTATAGTGCACGAAAGGACGGAATAACCTTTTAAGAAAATCACTGTAAAACATGATCAACATTTCGATGCTTTTTAGAGTTACTGATCTAAGTCCGTCTTCAAACACTAACAATCTATAAACTTGTTTTGAGTTAGTCTCTCTACACATGGTCACTATGTAGCCTGGACGATTTTTGAAAATAATTTTTTTTTTGTTGTAGGACTTGGAAAATTGGGTAATAGGATGGGTGGACTGGAACATCGCCCTCGACCTTGAAGGGGGACCAAACTGGAGTTACAACTTTGTGGATTCACCCATAATCGTCGATGCAGTGAGTGTAAATAATATAGGTTAAAAATAACTAAATTTGGGTGTTCATTGACTGCATCAGTCACAGAGTAAAAAATGTAAAAAGTAATTATTACACATTTGTACACGTATTTTTCCTGGTAGTTTTCTTTCCTTAAGTCGCAATTGTTACTTCTGCGCCTAACGTGAATAAAGTATCGAATTTGATACTTTATTCTCGTTTTTGAAAATTTTACAAAATTGCTTCACTTCATTTTATACTTACGAGTGTAGTTCATGCTGACTTCCCGTTCTCATTTGCAGGCAGCCGATGAGTTCTACAAGAACCCGATGTACTACGCGATGGGCCATTTCTCGAAGTTCATCCGTCGGGGAGCAGTGCATCTCCAGCTTAATTCTGTGCGGGACGGCGGCCTCCGGACCACAGCCTTCAGAAACCCTGACGGTTCCGTCGCCATCGTTATCCTTAATAGGTACAATCTAGTCGCCATTCTCCCTAATAGGATAAGCATGGATGATCTGGTTGAAAGCATGTCTCGATAGTCAAGCATGAACATAGAAAGGAGACTTAGTTAAGACAACTTGTCACATAGCTTAGTCTCATGTGTGGGTTGTGAGGCATAAATGGCACTAGGCACGGGAGCTTTCATATTAGTCAACTCTGTACCGCCGTATGTCACTCTCCAGGAACATCACTTCCAAATGAAATTATACGTAAACTATTAAGCGTAGCAACCTGAGGACGTTTGTACGCAATAGAGAACTTCAATTAAAGTTGTCGTGCATGGCGGCAACCATCAGTGCAAGTGTTTTCGCTTTTCGCGATCACTAGAACGGATCCTTTCTGGGAAGTAGGCTTGTGACAAAGTTGCTTCCGTTACTCATGTCAGGCGGTGGAGGGTTAAGGGGATATATGTATAAGAGATATAAGAAAATAATAAATATTTACCGTAAGTTCGCTGATTATTTTAGGAGATCAAAGTGTTCGATATGAAAGATGGCATTTGATCTGCTTCGAATTAATTTGACGTTTGCTTATATATTTTATGATATGAATTTTTCAGACAAGACGTTGCTGCAAACGTTACGATCACGGCAGAGCCTCGAGGAGCATTGCGGGTCACGGCTGGAGCAAAATCTTTGAAAACACTCCTCTTCAAATAAAACTTCAGTTGTGTGCTATGAGCAGTAAAATTTCTTAATTAAATTCAATAAAACACGTAAAATGCTTAATTTGATTTATTTCCTCCTATAGGCTGTTACGTATTTTGATTGTGCTCGCGACATAATGTTTTTTTATGTCAGAAATGGAATGAAAGTAATCGATGTAAGAGTATTACAATGTTGAATAAAACTCTGACCTGACTAACTTATTAGCAAATAGTAAGGTATTTCAATTCTTTCAAAAAAAAAAACGCTCTCAAAATTTGAAGTAAAACCTTGATCTTGAGACCATTTTACCGCTGCAGTAGCCATATTTCACTAGGATATATGAGTAAGAGAATAAATTCATAAACTTCAACTTAGAATCATATATATAGGGGCAGTAGGAGCCATCGAATAGATGAATAAACATAGTATGTCCCCAGCATAACGATTTAAAATCACCACAGTCCTCATTGTCACCAAATAAACTCGGATAACTCACAATTAGCCTCTTTAATGATTTCAAGGACTTATTTGCACAGAAATTAAGATATCACAGTAGAACCCTGCCTTTCGAACTTAATTCGGCGTGCAAGAACTCGGTTCGCACAGCGGGTCGTTCATCAAGCGAACATATTTTTCCCATGGCTGAAGCGGAGAGGCGGCTGAAGTGATTTTTTAATCTAATGACTAAAGCTAACACAACGAACTATGAATGAACTACGAACTAATCATAGTCACTCCCCCTAGTAAATAGAGGTTCGACTTTACTCTCTCTACCATTCGGTTTCGGCTTCTTGGACGGACTAGGCACTAGAACTGCGCCTATACGTCACTCGGTCGTTTCACAAGAAAAATATCTTAAAAATATCTTAATAATTTGTTTCAAACTCGTTCTTGTTGTCATGCCTTGTTCTCCCAAAACTTTTCGGTTACAGTCAATTGCATTCGATAAGAGAAAGATAAAAGTATTCAGTTCCTATTGATATTAACATTTCAGATTTGACGATTAGTTCAAGCTAAGCAACTTCAACAGAAGTTGCTTCTTGATTCTTAAGATTCAAGCAACGACAGAGTGCTGGTGAGGGTGTCGAAGTCGACAATGGAAGAAGAGTTAGGAGTTAATATCGACAATGAGTTGAAATTTTCTAAGCATATTGAAGGTCAAGTTAATAAAGCCAATAAACGACTTGGACTGATCAGACGCTCTTTCGAGTTCCTAGATGCAGAGGCGATGAAGCAGTTGTTTGTTGCTGTCGTGCGCACGAACCTAGAGTTTGGAATATTCGTGGGGTCACCCAAATTTGAAAAGGACAAAAATTTAATAGAGTGTTCGAAGACGCGCAACAAGGATAGTTCCGGGCTTGAAAGGCAAGTCCTATGAGGAAAGATTGAAGGTTATGAAGCTTCCAAGCCTCAGTTATCGACGTCTGCGTGGGGACCTCATTGAAGTATACAAGTATACTCATGGCTTATACAAGGTCCCAGAAGGATTACTAGAATTTGAAACAAGAACCAACACCAGGGGCCACGGCTATAAACTAAAAAAACTGCGTTGTAACACATCCATGTGACAACATTTCTTCTCGCTTCGAGTCACCAACATGTGGAACAGCCTCCCTGATAGCATCGTTGACGCTCCGAGTATAAACGCCTTCAAAACAAAAGATTAAAGACTATGAAGCTTCCAAGCCTCAGTTATCGACGTCTGCGTGGGGACCTCATTGAAGTATACAAGTATACTCATGGCTTATACAAGGTCCCAGAAGGATTACTAGAATTTGAAACAAGAACCAACACCAGGGGCCACGGCTATAAACTAAAAAAACAGCGTTGGAACACATCCATGCGACAACATTTCTTCTCGCTTCGAGTCACCGACATGTGGAACAGCCTCCCTGATAGCATCGTTGACGCTCCGAGTATGAGCATCTTCAAGAACAGACCAGACGAAGCTATGCAGGAGCATATGTTCAGTCTTAAAATGTCTAGCAATTTACGGACCAATCAGGCAATAAGTCCAGCAGCTATTTCAATCGATCGTCAGTTATGGAAAGATCGGGTTGCAAAGGCCGGATCCCTTGTGAATCAAGTCACGAAAAGTTCAAGAATCGGCAACAGGCTATGGGCCTATTTCTTCAATGCCGACAAGTCTATTCTATTTTATTCTAAGCAAACCATGCTATTATTGAATGAACTGACAGTCAACATTTTAATTATCGAGTCATAATTGAAAATAAAAAAGCACTTTAAATGAAAAGTTTTAAGTTGTAGTTTATACCTTACCGTTTTTCCTTCATCGAGTAGCAAAACTATTTTCATACAAGGATTAATAGGGTTTTTGTTACCATTGTTCTGCGGCCGGACTGGTATCACTTTTAGTGCCATAAGTTGTGTATTTCTCTTTGTAGGAGTTAACTCTTCCCTGTGAGCTTTCGTTGAAAGAGGCCACACTACCTGTGCTTTTTGTCTTTGGTGAAACGTGTTACAAAGTTCAAAGAATTTTTCTGCGACTGTACTCGGAACATTGTCAGAGATTTCACAAATTTGATTAGATTCATCGAAGAAAATCTATAGAATTGTAAAAGAAACATTGATATACGTTTACAGAACACTTGAGTATGTTCTGTAAATTTTGTTTGAAAAATTTGTGTGCATTTCTTTGAAAGGTTATTTATTACCTATGCTGATTCCATTTTTATCTCATGAGCGCAGTCACGCAAGCACAGCAGTGCATGCGTGTATAGTTCGCGTTCGAGCAGCAAGTAGTTAGAGAAGTGCCGTGCCTCATAGACGGACTAGCGACACTCATCGCATTGTACTTCACATTTATCTACATGCGAATATCCATCTTCATCTGATGTGGAATTTCTGCACATCTTGTCATTCCCTCTAAATTGCTCGGCTGCACGTCAGCTCTCCACTTCGTCAGCTGCACAGTATCGCGGCGAAAAGTTTTACCGGAATCCTATACATTTGAAATAATCATTCAGACTTGTATCACTGTGAAATTTCTATGCATTCCTTTATTGAGCTTCCAAGTAATAATGAATTGGCGTGATGTCAATTACAAATACTCTTTCAAGTGATGAATGAAATTGTGAAATTTTAAATCCTTTATATCAGACACTTGATCTGAGGATTTATTCGAGAATTAAAAAGTAATGAACTTGACGTTTGAATGGCAACAGACAAGTAAAGTGCAAAATTAACTAGTACTCGTTGCAATACATTCCGCGAATGATTTTTACCAATGCAAACTTTCACAAAACTTGATTTCCATCGAAATTAGTGCCTATTTTTTCTCTATATTGGCATAATTAAAAACATGCTACTGTAACAAATATTAACATCTACAATTCGGTTACAAAATATTGCAACCGAAGATGCATTCCCAAAGTTCAATAAAATAATTCTGTCAATGCCGAGGCATTGTAATAGCCACTTTGGCTGGGAATAAAAAAAGTTCAGCGTTTGTAGCTGATAGAATTTACTTAATTAAGCCGCGTGGACCTGCTCAGAAAGCAGGAAAACAAAATAAAAATACGAAAACAATAAACAGGTTCAATAAAAATTTTGACAAATGACTGATAACGAACGTAAAGCAAATTGAAACGCACATGAATATACTGAACAGTATAGGTACATGATTCATGGTGAAGAACTTAGCAACTGAAAGTAACTTACGTTCGTTTTCCAGGATGTTTAAACGAAACAAAAATCGTTTTTGTAGAGACTACAGACACTGATAGTTTTTCTGTCTAAGGCGGATGCAAGGTGAATGAATTCTAACAATACGATAAGCCTAGACGTCGTTAAATTGCCGAGTCAATGGTTCTCAGCACAAATTCCATTAATGGTAGTGGATTCTTCTTTAAAGCAGCGAATCGTCAGCAGCATCCCTACTATACGGGTATCCATTGTTGTTCAAACTGAAGATTGTATGGTATCCGTCGTTTTTAACGTTGAGGTACTGATCGGGATACCCGGCATTTCTCGATCAGCCTCCTGGCTGTAAATATTTGTTACAAAGGAAGAGTTAAAAACCAGCATCCTCACACGTGGAGGGAAAATCTCATTTACTAACAGTTCCGATGAAGACGTGGATGGAATGAGGAGAAAAAGACGTCATAAATTACTCAGCTGTCACCGCATCACGGTTCTTGCGGTCTGTGACGAGTGAAAAAAGCTGAACGAAAATAGAGTAAAAAGAGACAGTCGCCTGAA